AACCAGGGAGAGCATTAGAGACGTACCAGTTTCCCTCCCATCGAGGATCTAGTTTGTTAGACCGAGCAGGGCCTAAGGTCTCTAAGCGGACCCTTAGTCCTGGTTTAAATAACCGCAGCTTAGACTTAGAATCGAAGGTAGCCTTGTACACAGATGCAGCATGAGTGACACATTCATCCACATTGTCGAGGATCTTAGCACGAGTGGCACTTAGATAGCGGGCGTACGAGTCGGGGTCGAAGAACCTCGTCTCAGTGCTTTCTAAATCAGGGAACCATAGGTCTGGTGGGGAGCGTCCATACATCAAGTAGAACGGTGATGCTTTAGTCGCAGAGTGAATACTTGTATTGTAGTACCAAACCATAGAGCCAAGATGTCGTTGCCAATCATAGACAGAATCAACATGTGTCCGTAGCATCTTCAGAAATGTCTGATTAAAACGTTCCACAAGGCCATTACCAGCCGGGTGATAAACCGAACTCTTGGACTTACGCATGCCAAGCAGACCCAAGGTCATTTTGAATAACCATGATTCAAAAGGCGGACCTTGGTCAGAGTGTAGTCGACGAGGGGGCCCGAACAAGAGGAACAGTTGGAAGAGAGGACGTGCCACGTCAAGCCATGTATGTTGTCGTAACGGAACCACATGAGCCCACTTCGTAAAGTAGTCTTGGAGAACAAGTAGGGTCGAGATGCCATCGGGGTTAGTCGGAACGGACAGAAGGTCAACCGCAATAGTTTCCCATGGTCTTCCGATAGGTACCGGCATCAAAGGTGCAGGTGCAGGCGAAGGTCTCTTAGCATTCAGACAACGCTCACACTGCGAGATATGTCGTTCCACATCATACATCGGACCGAGGCTCGATTGGATCGAGATATCGAAAATCGATCGATTGTTCGGTGCTAATCAATCGAGGATGCTGCGGCGGGCAGACGAATCGATTCGATTCGAGGAATCGATCCACCTCGAAACTCGAAATTCATTGAAATGCTCTTCTACGTCAGCATTGAGGGTTACTTATAGGGTCTACAGCACCTGTCATATTATTGCAACAATTCAGGATGCCTTTAGCAAAGCACTTCCACGAGAAGAAAAAGTAAGGGTCGAGGCTAGACCGCTCAGTTGATAGCCACAGGCACTGGGAGGCTGTCTGATTATCTGACTCGGATAGACTCCATCAGCGAGATACTGAATATCCGCGCACGACCTTGCTGTTCGCCCGAGGCGAATCGCTTTGCTGTGGCACGCTGCCAATTGCGGCGACAGCCAGATATTCTGCAGATGCCGATTCCCCGGGTCGGAAGGATGGTATTCCCCGGGTTCGGTCAGATTGCGCGTTTGCCTCGAGCCTCGACGAACCCTCGAGATTGTTCTTCGGTAATTCAGAAGAAGATTATCCAAATACTATTTCTGAGCATAATCCACACCGCAAATTCAATATCCCTAGTAGCGGCTACTAAGTAGCCTAATAACTCTAATAGTTATCGCATATAGCATAGGTTCAAAAATCCGGATTCTTCGCCCCGCCCCTAAATTACTCAATCCGCCCCTAAATATGCCACATGCGTTCTAAAGTTGGATGAGTCATCCGCTATCGTTACAGCTTCTCTGAGACTGACATACATGGCACAGTTTCTGTCTCAGTGACCCATACCAGTGTGCTTAGCTAATAAATGTAGTTACGTGGTGGAGTTCAGTACGCTCAGTACGTGTTCAGGGCGGCCATTGGCCGCCGGCCAAGATCAGTAGATAGCACGGCTCAACACAACGATGCGAAACTAGATTGATCATTGCG